AGTGCGAGAGACACAAATCAAACATCATACTCATTTAATGTTTGTGTGAAAAGTAAAGACACAATTTAGTTTTGCTTGAAGTTTGTCTAGGCATAAGTGCAATTTAAGTTTTGTTTGAAAAAAAGTTAAAATTTAAGTTTTGAACGAGTTGGACATATTCTGAACTATTTAAAACCAGGTCTCTAGTCGCAGTTTTTCGCGCTAATTACAAATACCGACTTACTACTTCAGAATTGATTCCACTACTCCATACTCTAGAAGTACTCATATTATACATAATTTTCTCAGTTTTCACTCTATTAACGGTGACTTTCGTCAACAAGATGATTTTTCTAGTTTTCGTGGTTTTTCTGACCGTTTCCGAAGACTATGTTTTTCATATTGTTTCTAGCTTCATCTGTTGCACTCATTTTCCTTTACTGTTTTTCACCATGAAGAGCGATTTCTCAGAATCTGGTCCCAAGACATAAAGTTTAGAAAATTAAATTTGGCACGTTTTATGTTCCAGACACAACTATCGAAAATGCTTTTTTCAATGAGAAAATACGAGAACAAGAAAAATATTACTCTCTAGCAGGTTCGAATTTGCAAAGGATTGTACTTTTCGGTTTTTTACTATTCGTAGTAAAAGTGATTTACAGGTTTCTTTAGGTGTTCTTGCCGTTCTAGAGTTGTGGTTTTACAAACTCTGCTAAATGCTCTACTCCTAAAAAGCAATGGATTTTCTTTCAGAAACAGCCATTTTGTCTCATAATCATCATTGAACTTCTTCCGCCAGTGCAGAAAAAAATAAAATCGCAATATAGTGAGGTTTTCTAGTGCGAAGTTCGGAAAAGAGCCCGATTTCTCTTTTCTGTAATGAATAGTACAAAAAGGCATTGAGCAGCTAGATGTATCCTTGTATCTAATGTATTTGTTGTCAGGAACTAGCATGATCGGTTGGTTAAGTGGTCGGTTCAAGCTAGATCGAATAGAGCTACCCTGATTGGTTGGCTAAGCGGACGATGAACGTAGATGCTAACTTCCCCACTCACCCTAAAGTAGGCTGAACCGCTCGATCCTAGGTTAAATGTTTCGAGGTGGAGCTAGTTTAACCGGGTAGTAAACCGTGTTACCTAGCTGCATGTTTTTTGCATTGGGTAAGTTAAAATCTTCAATTTTACTACAACTATATGTATACAGTGTGTGTAAGAAGCTTCTCTTGCGAGCTTATTATCGCTTAAAATAAAAGAGATATGAAAGTTATCTTTTTACTGTTAGATAGAGCGAAATCTGTTCTACATTTTCTCCCCGCTTGAATAAATTTTAACGATCTTAGATGATTCTATAATGAATCTTCGTTTACACTTAGTCGACTTTTAGATAGAAAAAAGTATTCGGACGCTTTTTTTTCTCTATGGTTTTGACATTTCTCAAGTACCGATGGACCATTCGAAGGAGGAAAGTCTCAGCTGTCTAATGGAAAAAGAAGAATTAAGAAAAGTACTCTTTAAAGTTCAAAAAATTGAAATTCCGGATACTACCATGAAATCCACTTAAAACGCGCTCTTTGACCGTTAACTTGATCAAAGCTCAATTCTAAATATATCGTTAGAAAGGGCGTAAAAACTACGTGAGAAACAATGATTATACAAAAAGATACATTATTTCTTCTGCTCACTTTATAACATCTCATTTCATCACTTCTCCCAAAAAAATGAAAGAGCCTTTGTCTATTCTCCACAGAGTAAGCGAAATTCTTTGAAACGAGCTACAGATGGTATGTGTAACTCAGCTGTTTTTTAAGTATTCAACCCAAAAAATAGCTCATTTTTGTGTAGAATTTTGTCTTCTTTAAGTCTGTTACACCAAAAGGACTTTTGAGTAGAGACCTAAGGCAAAAAAATGCGAAATATAATAGATGACACCCAGAGATGATGACTCGAGCAGTTAGAAATCAATTAAAACTAGCTGAAGGATCTTGACTATCTCGATACCCTCTATCGATCGACGTTTGAACGATTGAAAAAGGAGTGTTACAGTAGAATAGTGTTTCTCGTTAGTCAAGGTGGAAGACATTTTGCATTTGACAATTTATGCGTGACAATAGAGTAAGTGTGTAAAAAAATTATTTGTTGTTATATCAATAATAGGTTATCTAATGGTGTGGCAATATAAGCAAAAAAAGAGCCAGAATAGTAGCTTCCTCGGAGAAAACCATTTTTTTTCTAGTAGACGAAGTCGTTTTAAGTTTAAAAATTTTACATATTCTGAATCTGACAGGTTTAGCTATCGAATTGTAAGAAATGTTCTCTTTTTAAACCTACAACACAGGAGAAAATGTTTTTTTCGGGATGACTCTGTTTCCGAACAGGCACTTCAAATGTGTTTCGGTTCCTAAATTTTCCTAAAGTGTTATCTCACTCCGAATTAATGCAAAATGTTCTGCAACACGTCCTGCACGTATGTTGCATGCAACTTTATGCAACTATTCGCCTAGACTTCTATATTGGTTTTCCAGAACACTCTGATGTTTTAAGGGTAATGCGTTTTTCTCAGCCCAGGAACGTTTGTATAAAAACGATAATATGATGTTTGAAATCGGCGCATAAAACTGCATCGAATGACCTATAACTTGTTCATTTTCCGAATAAAAAGTTTTTCAAGAAAATCTTAGGACAAGGGATTGATTTTTCATCTTAAACATTTTTTTAAATTTATAATAACATTTCTAACTTAATAAAGTAGTATTGAGCAAAATAAGCTCTTTCGAATGAAAAAAACACATATTCGCGTGGTCTGTAGAAAAATGCCCACTGTGCGATCCCTCTTCTGCGTCATCTGAATAAAAATGATGATTTATATTTAACTTTTTTATAATTTGATAGTCAATCATCTGTTACTACCACCAGTATATGCATGTCTACCACCTTTAAAACAAAGTTTTCCGGCTCAGTTTGTAGAGAATTCAATTCTCTATCTGAGGACACATTCACATTTTTTGAGAAATTCTGTCTAGAGAACCAAAAGTGGCATTTACTCGAAAAATTTGACCCTTCAAAATCCCAATCCTTTAATTAATAGTGATTTTAGACAGCCAGCTTCTACTCCAAAAAAGTTAGAAACCATTTGATTTTGTTCAGTTCTAGATAGGCTTTCGAATGAGATATTGCTCAAACAGAACGTACACAAAATGACAGAATTATAGTCAAAATATCACAAAGGTTACTTTTTCAAAAATCAATCATTACAATTACGTCGTATAATCCGATAAATTTTTGATTCAGTTTATGATTTCGATTTAATACAAATCCATTAAGTATCATCAAAATTTGAGGGTATGTAAGGACAGATCCCCTTAACGATCATTCTTTTCTTCTTGAACGCAAGAACGAAATCTGTCTGCTTTTTCTACATCTAATATATGTATACATATCGCTTAGCAAAAAATACCTGTTTCACTTCGTATATGTATCGCGAAGCGATACACACATCATTTTTTTCCGCCTAAACATACCTATTTCGGGTCTTCAACTTACATTCTGTTTACCTAAATTTCATTAAAATGTTTCCTGCGACGTGACTATGACAGTTTCATTAAAAATTTTAATAAAAATTCAGAGTCATCGAACACACAGGAAATTTCGTTAAAATTTTAATGAACTTGCTTTTAATGCAAGCTTTTTTAATGAAAATTCTTTTAAGGACCCTCCCCTCCTCAGAAATTATCTCCAACACCGTGCATCCGATCTTGACGAAACTTTCCATAAATGTTCGGCACAATGAGTTACGGGAATGAAAACTTTTTTTGTCTCCAAGTCTTACGGTTTAGGAGTTTTCCAGAGATCAAGGTCCTAAAAGGACCCTGAACGGCGTCCCAAGATTTTTTAATATACTTCAAGCTGGAGAGTTCGGGTTTGTTTTATTTTAAACTAGACACCTAACTACATCGACTGACCGCGCCGATGCTTTAATGAAGCTTTCATTGATTTTCCAGGCACCCAACAACCTCCAAAACCCGAAAAAGCCTTCCGGGTTTTCTAAAACTCCTCCGTTCGACAAAAAACTAAGGCCTAATTCAAAAATCGATTCCGGTTAGTCTATATAGTTTCTTTTCCTCTTTTAAACAAAAAAAGAATGAACTCTCTACGATAAACCGCTATTAAAAATCTTGGGACGCCCTTCAGATGTAACTCTTATATAGTGAAAACGCTTTATTCAACGCTGTATGGAATACTCAATTTTAGAACTTCTAGGAAAACGTTTTAATGCAAGGTCATACAGAGTTGTGCGAGGTCTTATTTTGATCAGAAACGTTTGATCTACAAAGCTGTGTGCTCAGAAAAATATTAATTGCATAAGTATCCAGGAAAAAAACATTATTTGAAGACCCGTTTTTTGAAGGCTCTTAGAAAATTTGCTCAAAATCCCCGTAAAAAAACCAGTTTTGTAACTAAAAGCAATACAGATTTTAGAAGTAGACACTTCAGACTATCTTTCCATGTGCGTATCTCAAAACCGAATTTTTGACCGAAAACCACCATGGGGCCCTTAATGAAACTCCGATATCCCATTCGTATACCGTTAACTTCTGATACATACGAAAATGCTTTTGTCATTAAATTTCCTTAGACAATCATTTGTAATCATTGGCGTTTGATGGAGCCAGTGCGATCGTTACCATGGACCATAAGATGGATTTTGCTAAGTAACCTCCCCCCCCCCTATAATACAAGATAGAAGACCACCTGGTCATATATTTTGTCGCGCAAGTCGAGTTCTAAAGGGTGGCCTTCTATTGCGGTCACATTTTGTCGCCTGCTAGTAGTCCAACAGTAACCTCACGTACCCAAAGCCCATCCCCTATTAAAAGTACGCTTTAGCGAAATTTTCGGCTTTTTTTCGCGGACATAATAGACGAAAATTTCAAATAAAAAGGCTAGGCTGTTTAACTCTATAACGAAAAACTTCACCATTAATCGGCTAAAAGGTGTTAGAAAACAGCCCATTAACAGTTATCGTTACCGTACAAATGCACGAGCGACAATTGCGTCGGTCGGCTCATTGATATTCAATGCACGTTCTCGGGGATCATCGGAGAAGACAACTTTTCGACATATAACACGTTGTAGCTACATTCTTCAGATGCATTTCACTTTTGTGTAAAACTACAAAACCAAACAGGACACTTTCGAATTATAGCCCGTAGAATGACTCAAGTTATTCAATCGCTGTGTCTACAAATATCTAGAGACATCTGATTATTACTTGCCGTCCAGCGGCGGCTATATCGAGCTAACATCGGGATGGGATCTGCTAACCCATACGTCAGAAAATAACGAGAGATCATTTTCTTTATCCATAATCACAGTTTTTTTTGCTTATAACTAGCATCAGATTTCCTTTTAAATATATTATCTCTCATAATATAAGTACCAGAGACGGTCATGGGTCGGGAAAACCAATGGAGACGCACGGGACTCCAAGGAGCCGGACGAACCGGGTCAACCTTTGTGAAACTTGTTAACAGATTAAAACCCAGAAAACAGGTTTAAAACGTTCATTTTTTTCTTCGCTTTATTGTTGTGAGATAAAAAACCCGTTCTGTTTTGCATCTGTTACTCAGCAAACACGCATGGTCTTTCTACTGCTATTATTTTTCTTCTTTATTTAACATCATCATATTGCAGCTAAACAATTTATGAATCGTAACCAGAAAAGTAAAACACGCTTATACTGATTGTATGTATACACAATTGAAATCACAAATTACTAAACTGGTCTAAGCATTTAAAAATTAGCTTAAGTGTGGGATAGTTAAGAGCAATTTGCCAGGATTAAAATAGCCTATGCATTAAGTATCACGTTCTGCTTTTCGACTATGAAAAAGTGAGTAATCAATACTCAAAGAAAAACATACAATATAAACTGACACTTGCACAAAAGAATGATATAGTAACGTAATGCATGCAGATGATCTTGAATTTATCATTGTTCATATGAAATCTTTTGATATCAACAGATCCAACAACGGTGTGATCAATCTTGGTAATATATTTAGCATCACGACGACAATTTATTTGAAATTTGAAAAATGCTGAAACCAACTCTGGACCCAGTCCATACGCAGCTCAGGGCAGCATCCTATAATCAGGAATTAGTTACATTTAAAATAATCACTATTTCTATGTAAGTCTTGCCGGTCTCTGTCTGTGTGTATCTCTACATCAAAACTGCTATATATACGTAGATGTAATGTTCGGTAAATAAGTTTTTTTGTAATCTTGAGTAACCACGTCAAAATCATCACAGAAACAATTTAAAGTCTTTTGAAAATGATGTCTTGAAGAAGGTCTCATCTTGAATTTCTTCCCTAACAAAATGTCAGCTATACCATATCACCGGCACCATGATCAAACAACTTATTAGTAACAACTCCTGCCACGGATCAATCATTGTCGAGTCATCCAACCTACAAGCAGTTTTTATCTCATGATCGGATGATTTATAAGCTTTTTCGTACAATCTTTATTCATAGACATCTTATTCTCCTTTCGAAATGACTTTAATAAGAACATGTTCAAATTAACCAGAAAAAGAGAATAAATCTTCATTAAAGAAACATAATAAACTGTATATGTAAGCTAAGTGTTGCAGAATCAAAACCAGTTCCAAATTCTGCACTAGAAAGTTCTTTATTTCAGTTCTGCTTCTTTCTATATAGTGCAGAATCGAAATGAGTTACAACCAGTATTAGGTACCAAGTTATATACATAGTAACCATTGCATAGCGTAACACTAATTGTTGTTGGATACCAACAGGATGTGCCAGTAGCAAAACACACTGAACCAGTAGTTGTTTGTCCCGCAATTGTTGGATGACTACCTTGATAGTATCCCGGATACTGTGCACCACATTGATAAGCGACAGTCGGATTTGTGGCAAGCATTGTACCGGCATTACCCATAATTCGATACCAGTTTGTGACGAAATTATAGCAGGTGGTATCACCGTAAGTATTTAAACTGATAGGAGAACCGATATTGCGTGTGGAATCGGCCAGAACGTAGTAGACTGTACACTGGCTCGGATATGAAACACCTGACAATATTAAGAGCAAACAAAATTAAAATTTCATTTAGCGTAACAAGAAGAGATGTTATATTACTTGTTGCTGTTGTTGCATTCGAGTTGCTAGCAGAGGAAGTCACGCTGGATGAACTTTGATCTAAGAAAGGTGAAATATTAGTAACCTTTCGAACAATAACTCTTTTCGAGTACACCATTACTTGATTTTGTCAATGACCAAACTAAGACCGGACCCAGTGCGGCAATAGCGACTAGTAAACCAATCGCAGAGCCTAATATACAGAGCTTTTTTGTTTGTGTGTATGTTGAACCTCTATCAAATGTTAGAAAAAATCAAAAATATGAACGGGTATTATGAGTAGATATTTCAGAGTTCTACTATAGGACCAGAATTTTGTTTTCGACTACATTATGTGTCACTTTGGCTATAGCATAGCCCAGTGGATGTATTCACACAGTGAGCATTCAACAATCAAAACTGTGTACCAGAGTACTTCCATGACACTTTCAATACTTCATCAAGTGCTTGAGAAACGTTCCAACAAAAAAGTACAAAATATAGTCAAATTCAACTATGTTTGTTCGATTTAAAGTAACACAATATCAAAGGTTACAGATCGTTTGTGGATAATTGTGTTTTAAATTAAGCGTTATGTCGGAGACAGTTTGTTGAGGACATCCTGCACGGGATAATAGTATGAAATGTATTCACCCACTGAGACAGCGACAGCGTCTATTTTGTTAACAGCAGAACAGTCGTGCAGGATCGGTGAATAGACTAAATGTTTGAGAGAAAAAAGAGAATCATATTTACTTTGCTGGTGCAGCATCTATCATTATATTTGTTGGTAGCCATGCATTCGGATTCACTCTACCAAACTGTGGTTGCATCATTGACACACGCGATGAATAAATACTTTGACGATTTGGATTTATATCGATAGGGTAACTGTTTCGTAAATGATTTAATGGAACTAAATTTGTGTTACCACTAGCTTGTGCCCATTGATTCTGTAAATAACCATCATCCATATTTCTTGTTGTCCTATTCGATTATATGTTTGTATATACTAAAAGAAAGTATATCCTTGCAAAGGACAACGAGTTTTATCGATTCTAGGTAAATAAACGAAATCTTACTTCTAGTCGTAGTGTCGCCTGCACAGCTTATATACTTGCTTTCTCGTATCGATACTAAGCGTTGGTTAATTAGTTGCTGGAGATGGCTCAGCTCTCTCACAGCTGATCAGTGACCCTGCTGAAAAACACCGTACTGACAGAAACGGTACGTTCCTTCTGATTACCGTACTTATAGATGAGGAATAACCCGCATGAACAATAATGCTCTGAGTACTGTCTAGTTTTAGTTAGATCCGCTGACTCCTTTTCAGTTGGGTGTTTGAGTAACAACATTAAGGTTCGTATACGCGTTCATGAAGCGTATACAGTGAGAGAACCTTGCATCCTAGACGAACACAAAGGTCAAGCAGTATGAACACGTTTGGTATTGATCTGTATGCAATACTGTAAAATTTCGTTGAAAAACTGACGGTCTTGAAGCAAGTCATGACTGCACCCCCGGTCTGTAATCTGAGGGATTGAACTCAACACCTTGCTGTTGTTACATCAAACCAAGGTACATTTAAGGCCTGTAATCGTCAAGAACTAAAGAATTCAGATATACGAATCTGGATTCTCCAGTCTCATAGTTGCGATAAACAGAACAAATCCATCAGACACATACACAAGCCCTCAAACACAGGACACAACAAATAATGGTTCCACTAACTCTGGAATTCGACCAGGATCTAGTTTTAAAGTGACGTAAACAGCTGAAAATGTATGAGTCTTTGCCTGTACACATATATAAAACATTGTTCATTGGGTTTATTTCTCTTTAAGTTGAATGTCAAAAGTGAAAAAAGATTTACATTACTTGTACGCTATTTCCGGCGGTACTGGAGTTGAAAGCGCTTTACACTTTGTCACTTTACAAATAAATGGAAACAGATTTGTGCTAGGTACATTACCTATTAATATTCGTTTACTCTGGCTTGTATAATTAATGTTTGTTTTCAATATTTGAAAACGAAACGCAAAAGCCTTATTGGATTTGTCTACTACGTAAGAGTACTATAATGACTACACTTAAGCGGTAGATTAAAATAGTAATTATTCTCATTATGTTATTGTTTCATTATTTATTTCTATAATTAATGTTTGTTTTACATATTTGAAAACGAAAGGAAAAATAGAAGCCTTATTGTATTTGTCTGATGTGTTTATGTGAAATGTCTTTTGTCTTCACCTTCTTATTTTCATGGAGCAGAGTAATTAACATAAATATCGAAACAATCATTATCCAGAAAGAAGCAATGGCAATTACAACATCAACAACATACTGTTAGTAGCTATAATACTTAACCGTTATCTCTCTCTTCTTCGTCAATACGTGCTCTTTCTGCTTCCTCTGTACAACCTGTAATAAAAGAGACAGTCTGCTACTGTCTCTCTCATTTCCGCACCATATGGACAATTTAGATCTTTATTGTCTCAAAATTCGAAAACATCTCTTAAACCATGTTCAGGGATTACGCTCACAGATAGATGCGTTCAAAACATCTTGTTCGAAATAAATACTCTACCACAGTCGGAATTGATCTGATTTCGCCTGGATGGCGAGGATGTTTTCTTATTTAATAACCTGTTCTTCCAAAATTTGTTTGAAATCATAAGAAACATCGTGATCAGAAGTGGGTCACAAATTTTCTCTTTCTTAAGTCTCTTCTGATCTGGAGCTCTTTGGTTTGCTTTTCCTCGCAATTCAGTTCGACTGATGCTGAAATTAAGCGGAACTTATGCTAAAGAACAAGGTGTGTACAAAGCAAAAATTTAAAACTTTTAAACTAATCAAAGTCAAGCGCGTGTGACCAATAGGTGCTAGATAAGAAGATATCTTCACCATCTCATCGAAATGAGATTCACTGCCACTGTGTGACAGTGTTGTTCATAAAAGAATGTGGTATCGAATTTCTCTAAAACAATGAGTTTCGATTATAGTCCAATTAAAACTGTTCGAAATCGGTAAAAATATCCGCAAATATCTTGAAAATCTTATTAATCTCTCTATCCCTCCATGCGATTTCATGAGCAACAGTAACATAGATATGCTTGAACACATATTATGATTCGGGAACATGCTTTGATACATGTACACTATCTATATCGAAGTCGTTGTAAAGAGTACACTTAAGCGCTAGATTAAAACACTAATTATTCTCATTGTGTCAGTGTTTCATTATTTATTTGCAGCTAGAATTTAGCTGGATACCCTATAGCAGACAAGCATACTGTTTCTCATTCAAATATAACAGCCAAGCAAAGTTTTTTCATAGAATTAAGACAAAAGACATTTCATATAAACACCTCAGACAAATCCAGTGAGGCTTCTATTTTTCCTTTCGTTTTCAAATATTGAAAACAAACATTAACTATACAAGCCAGAGTAAACAAATATTAGTAACTAATGTATCCATCACGCTACACTCCATTACACTAGGAGCTTGTGTTGATATGCTAGCCATCGCGATTCAGCTGAAATATGGTCAAAACCGCATGCTTTTGTATTTTTTAACTCCACTATAGTGGTAAATTTATCCGGTACTGTGAATGGCATGCACCAATGCGGAACGACATGGTCTGAATCTGAGAACACTTGTTCTACGAGTAAATGCCTGTAGGCAGTAGTCCACTCGCGCCACCTACTGTAGAAAGTATTCTCTGTCTATTTATATTTGTTAAAAATGTTTTAAAGAAAATGCCCAAAATTAAAAAAATTAAAATTTTAGTTTTTAGGGAAGTAAAATTTTTGAAAATATCATTTCAGTTTCATTTCACAGTTTTGTTGTTGTTGAGGCTAAACAAAAGATCTCGTTTTTCGCAACTCCACTTTTTTGGAAAACAAGTTGAAATTTCAACCCAGCTCCAACAACCTTTCGTTGTAGAGATACTGTTCGTACTTCGCAACTGTACGCCCAAAAAGTCCTATTTTTTATAACTTTCAAAATTTTGTTCCATTCGAACGACCGTCGTCATCACTGACAACTTCCTCGCCATTACTAATGATACTATCATTTCCATCAACAATTACATTGGTGATTTCAACATTGGTTACCAATAAGTTGGCATTCATGGTGATGAAAACAACACGTTGAAGCAGAAAGTGAACTCTTGATTTCGTATTACTGACTTTTGTGTACACGTGGTCTTTTAGTATTATACTGACTGTGGTTCACTTCTTCGTCTCTCTATTTTCATTTTCTTTTTTCTATTTCGTCTATTTTATTTCGTTTATCTATTATTTTTTTCGTCTAGTTGTGATCACTAGTATCCCAGGTCTATATATTGCATCATCTTTAGTAATCTGTTTATTTTTTCAGTAGTGTGTATTCGTTCCAACATTGGCCTAGGCCAGTCCGAGATTCGCCGCACTTATCTTTCAGTCTGACAATGGACTGGTCCAATCTTAGATTCGCCTGACTATTTCAGTCCAATCTTAGAATGGACCGTGGAATTGTAAAAACAAATCACGAATGATGAACCTTGTACGATATAATGTATCAATATATCGAATGCGTAACGCTTTATTCAATGTGCTATACACAAATGGCGCTTTAGTATACCAATATACAGCTGCGGTCGGCACATAATTTTGTTTGAATTCTTCTAACTTCTGACGCGTCGCTGAGTTCTGACTATAATGATTGCGACACATTTTAAGGAATTCTACTATGGATTCCTTTCTATCCATCATTTCTACGTAATCTTCATCATGATCAATTTGTACTGATTCATCATCGCTTTCTTCATTTCTTCGACTAATAGTTTAATCATCAAATCTATTCCTGAAGGTACAACTGCTTGGATCTGAAACGAAAAGTTGCAGAAGCTTTCTGGATCAACCTTCTTACGCTGTTACCTTAGGAAAAGGTTTTGTCCATTGCATCACCGCCTGCTCAATCACTTGTTGTGCCAATAAATATCACGAACTTGTTTTAGATCACGTGTGTATGGAACTACGTGCCGATCGAATTCGTCAGATATAATAAGAATAATTCTATCATCATGAGTTATTAAGTGTATCAATATATCACAAGATGAAATTTCGTCGAACATTCTCAAAGACGTAGTTGATTTTTGCAAAATGTCTTGAATATGCGGATTTTTCTCTGTCATTATTGGCATTGGTGCCACTTGTATAGAGAAAAAGCGCAGATAGCCTGATGAACTACATAGGAGAATGATATTTATATCAAGATCTAGCTCTAAGCGAAGTTATTTGTAGAACACAATTGTTAATGAGTGTTGAAGTA